TTACCTTTTGCAGTTCAGGGAATGCAGTCACATCATGTGGCGACACAGAATATTATGACTAAATGGACTAGCATCTTGACTCAGAGTGAAAATTCTTAACGAACAATAACAATCTTCTTAAAAGTATCTTTCCTTTCTTTTCCAATGTAAGGGAAAAGGAAACTTCAGTTGCATATTGGTGGTAGGAAAAATTACACTAGTTGAAAGCTTAGTGTTCATGTTGAAAACTATATAAATGCCAACTAAAAAAGGGAAAATTGAAGGCAGCAAAAGGTGAAACTCAGAAACCCAGTCGTAATTTTGCATAAAGTCGAGATTAAAGAAGAGTGAACATATTAGGGCAATGAAGCCAATAATATGATTTATTTATGATAAAATAGTAAAAATAAGGCTTTGGATTCCTTAGAAGTCTAGCATTTATATACTGATCACCAAAGTTGTGTTTCAAACATTAAAAATAATGAAAACATCTCTATTTTGAAAATTCTCTGAATCATTGCACTTTGGTAGTGATATCTCATGCTGTCTTAGAATAATTAATGCATTTAAAGAGGTGTCAGACTGGGATATAGTGTGTGTGTGTGTGTGTGTGTGTGTGTGTGTGTGTGTATCAGGGAGTAGTCTATTAGGAGACACATCAATGTTAGGGAAGACCCAGTAACAGTGTGTTGAGGTACCCAATACTGGACAAAATTGTGAATTAACATTTGTTCATTTAGATTTGAGAAAAGAGGTATAAAAAAGGAAGGACCATTAGACCTCTCTTTCTTCTCAACTCTAGCTCTTTCTCTCCCCCAACTCTCTCCCTCACTCTCATTCCCTCGCCTACTCAAGGGACTTGTAAGCTGTTCTAGACCTTGTCTTCTGAGTGAAGCTTCTGTGGTCTAGACACATTTTTTTTCCTACTTTTCTTTGTCCTACATACAGTTAATGCAATTGTCTACCCTGTTAATGCCAAGACTGACTTTAGACCTGACCAACATAACACCTGAAATTTGCCTAAATGATACCTCCTACCATAGAGTTCATATTTTTCTCTAAAATTAAAATATTATTTTTCATTTTGAAATAATTTTTAATTGTTAAAACCTTTTAAAATATAAAACATTTCTTAAGGATATTACAGTCATTTAAGCATTCTAGTGTTTTTCATCCTATATTCAAGAAAAAAAAGACAGTTTAATAAAATCATCAAGAGTGGGTAATATCTTAGTTTTAAGGTAATTTGTTTTTTGTTTGCTTGTTTGTTTAAGATGGAGTTTCGCTCTTGTTACCCAGGCTGGAGTGCAATGGCGTGATCTCGGCTCACCGCACCCTCTGCCTCCTGGGTTCAAGAAATTCTCCTGCCTCAGCCTGCTGAGTAGCTGGGACTACAGGTGCTTGCCACCATGCCCAGCTAATTTTTGTATTTTTAGTAGAGACGGGGTTTCACCTTGTTGACCAGGATGGTCTTGATCTCTTGACTTTGTGATCCACCCGCCTTGGCCTCCCAAAGTGCTGGGATTATAGGGGTGAGCCACTGTGCCCGGCCATAATTTGTTATTTTTATACTTTGTATCTTTTCCCTGCTTTTTAAATTCTAGTATCCATATCTGAAGTTTGCTGTATTATGTCTACTATATACAATTTGTTTTTAAGGCAAAAGCTTTAAGACACATTCTAGAATTCCTGAATTATCTTTTAGAAACAGTTAGCTTATGAATAAAATATCAACCTAACTATAGGGAAGTTTGGATTTCACTATTGTCTTCTTTTCTGAATTGCTGGGAATATAGGTACTTGATACTTGTTTATTTGAATTCATTGTGACCTTGTTACCACTTTGAATGCTTCAGATTCTCGAATTGCACATTGAAAGAAAACCCATTCCTTGCTTAGTTGCCCTTGTACGGTGTCGATTTTAAGTCTAATATTTTGAGCTGCTTTAGAAAAGTAGGATTATCATGTAAGACATACATAAACATTTTATAAAAAGAAAACTAGTATTTCTCAGTATGTACCTTACTTCCTCGGGTACTGAATGTTTGTGGCCACTTAAGCAACGCCATGTAATAAATTCCTGTAGCACAGTCTGATCCCTAAAGTATGGGTTAATTTTTTTTCTCCCCTTAGGATATAATTTTTTTTTCATTAACCACTTTCACTTGAGTAAAAAGAAATCTTTTAACTGCTTTAGCAGTAGCTACAATGCTTAACTTGTATAGTTGCTGAATCATGCTTTTTCCTTTCTTTCTGATTAACTTTCTCTGAGCAACATTGTCTTATATTTACATTAGCATCCATTCATTTGAACTAATAGTTACAGTTATAGTAACATATAACAATATTTAACTGTAATAGTTAAGAAAAGCTAACATTTACTGAATGCTTACTGTGTGCTAAAGGACTAAGACCCACGGCAAAACTCTTTTTTAGGACAAGGTTTGAATTTTAATAGTGAAGCTGAGAATATGATTGTGAATTCACCGGAATGTTGTATAATTGGCTGTGTTGCATAGTGAGATAATGTAATTTAGTGTATGGCAAACATGTGACAGCTCTTTGTTGTTGCCTGCCAGATAGGCTTCCATTAGCCTTAATTTCCTTTTCTTCATGTATCATTATGCCTGTATTTTTATAGTCTTAATTGTTTATACCAATCTGAATCTTCCTAAATGATGACATAGCATTAATCATTGTAGGTATAGTGATATCAGGTCTAAATTATGTGAGAATTCATGTTTTTTTTAAAAGGAAATTATGACTTTTTTATATCTTATAACACATTTTCCATTCCTACCATCAAAAAGTATTGTCCATATGCTCATGGTTCTGTACAAACCAAACACCTTTTGTGTTTTAAAGAATTCACATGGCTATTAAGCAAATCCTGGATACTGGACAAATAGCAATAAAGGTTTAGAAAAATGAAATTTCAGTTAAAAAAAACCTTACTGCCCCCCTCCACAGGGATGAAATCAAAGCATGAATTTAGAATTCAGAATAAGTATTGCTTTTGACATCAAATTTTATTGTGATGTATCAGGTGGAAATTTTACCAACATTTTTCTTAAAGCAAAAAACTCAGGCTATGTGTATATTGAATGCTAGTAAATTCTAATTTCCCTTCTCCTTCTCCCCCACTTCCTCTTCCCTCTCCCTGCTTCCCATCTCTCTCTCTCCTTCTTTTTGATCAGTAACGTTTTAGAGTTGAAAGCTATGCTAAGGGTACCCATTTCTTTTCAGAATAATTTAACTTTTCTTCTTAAGATTTTGTGAGCATCCATTCTGTATGTAAAGAGCATTTATTATGCCCAATGGAAGTGAGAGAGTTGTGGGACTACCCCTTAATAAGACCAAATCATACCACAATTATCCACCTTAGTTTAGTGGTTGATCAGGACTTGTTTACATAGATTACATAGGAGCTGAAATTAGTACTCTTAATTTTAAGCTTTATTTCTTAAGAAAAAATATTTATGACTTTATAGCTACTGTGATCCCCATGATATTAAAAAAAAAAGCTGGTAAAATTCTGTGATTAGTTTGTATATAATAAACTTCCTATCAAACCCATTCTGTTTTTTTAATTTTTAATTTTTGTGGGTACATAGTAGGCATATTATGGGGTACATTAGATATCTGATACAGGTATACAATGCATAATAATCATATGAGGTGATTATAAATGAGGTATCTTCAAGCACTTATTCTTTCTTTGTGTTACAAATAATCAAATTATATTTGTTTATTTATTTATTTATTTATTTAGATACAGGGTCTCACTCTATTACCCAAGCTGCAGTGTGGTGGCACGATCATGGCTCACTGCAGCCTTGAACTCTTAGGTGATCCTCCCACCTCAGGCCCACTTCCCCCTATCTCAACCCCCCTCCTCCTGTGGCTGAGACTGCAGGCATGTACCACCATGCCCAGCTGATTTGTAAATTTTTTTGTAGAGATGGGGGTCTTACTGTGTTACCCAAGTTGGTGTCAAACTCCTGGGCTCAAGGGACCCTCCTTCCTTAGCCTCCAAAAGTGCTGGAATTGTAGGCATGAGCCATCACGCCCAGCCTCTTAGTTATTTTAAAATGTACAATAAATTATTGTTGACTATAGTCACTCTCTTGTACTACCAAATACTAGATCTTATTCATTCTAATTATATGTTTGTACTCAACACATTTTCTATCCTAAGCTGTACTGAAACCATTTGCACTGGATATATTCCATATAAATTTCATTTTGATTGGTTATTTTCACTTGCCAGAGTTCTAGTAAAATGCTGAGGATAACTATTATATTTTTAATGAAGTTTATAAAAATATTGAACACTTGTAAAATTGAGTAACCTATCATCCATGACTGTGAATATACAATTTCTAATCAACCTAACTTTAGCTTGATTTAAAATTTTTTTTAGGGATCCAGCATTTGTTTATAATAGTTTATCAGATCTATCTAGTTTAAAACTCTTAAATTACCTAGAAAAACCTAAAGCATACTCACTCAGTGGAATGTCTGGAAGGTTTCTCTGTGAATACAAACAGAATATTTGCTATGGCCTCAGAAAAACATTTAGCATTTGATTCTAGGGGAAAAGCATTTTATGTTTTACTTGGTAGGAATAGGGATTATGCAGGTAAGAGTCAATATACATTGAAATTCTTAAAGAATTAATCCAATATAAATATAAAGAAGGTATGATTTATTTGAAATTCTTAACCTCTCTTTCAGGGATTTATTACATTTATTTACAATAGTTTCTTGGTCCTGTATTTTGGGAGGATATATTAAGATATAGGAGTACACAACTTTTTTTTTTTTTTTTTTTTTACTTTTGAGACTTATGGGAGGAATAGAGGGGATTAATCTATGGAATAGATCTGAAACAAGGCTAATAGACTTAGATTTAAACAATTTCAGTATTTAAAAGCACACTGAATCTAATGAGATCTGGCACTTGCTTTTTCTGAAATGGATTACCCACTGCTTTTTTTTCTTTCCCCCACTTCTCACAGGAGCCCAGTTTCCTCCAATTGCAGCACAGGACCTTCCTTTTGTTCTAAAGGCTGGCTACCTTGAAAAACGCAGAAAAGGTAAACTTAGGGTTCTAATGAAAAAAATCTAAAAATCCTTTCGTCCTTAGGATAGAGCATGTTTGTAGTATACATGTGGAGGCAATGTTCTTTTTAGGTTATTGAAGAGTTTTAAGACTGTAAGAAAATCTGGATGACATAATCCAGACCACAATATAGTTGTTAGCTTTAAATAAATTTTAATTAGAAACAATAGGTCATGTTTTCAGTTGTCAACCTTGATTATTTGTAAATTATTCAGGAGCCGTTTCCTGCCTCTTAAAGGAAGGCTATAGGCCACGACTGTATTCTTAAGCATGGGATTTCTCACCAGTATCTCACTGGGCTCAGCAGCAGGTTCTCCTATGTCTGACCTGGCATGTACCATGGTTCAGATCAAGCCTGGCATCTTGTCTGCCATTGTCTATTATTCATTTCAGTGTTCCTCTCCATCGGTTATGATAATTGGGAGTTGACCATATGGTCTCACTCTTTCAACACCAATATTTAATGGAAATGAAATATGGAGGTGGTGTTACAATATGAGAAATGAAAAGCAAACAGTCTTTTCATTACCATTCTGCTTATCTCTCTGGTAGTCCCTTTGGGCCTTTCTATTTATATATCATTTTGCTTTTCTTACCTTTCTTAGCTGAATTCTAAAACTGGAAGAGATAACAGAAATAATCTAGGTTAGCTCCCCCACTTCTTTTTATAACAGATGAGAAACTGAGACCCAGATGGATCAATTATCTCAAGATTGCTTAGTCAGATGCCTCTTTTGCTGTCCCTGTCAGAAAACTTTGTTAGCCATGCTGTTGCTCCCGTAAGTATGGCAGCCCCATAGCTACTTTACTTTATTTGCTCTAGCTTGTTGGTTTGTTGTTGTTTTGTTTCCTGGAAAAGAAGATACAAATTAGTCATAGAATGTTAGAGCTCAAAGGAAGCTTTGAAATCATATGAACTAACTTTTTCTGTTACAGTAAGGAAATGGCCTTACATTTCCCTCTTTATTGCAGATCACAGCTTTCTGGGATTTGAATGGCAGAAACGGTGGTGTGCTCTCAGTAAAACAGTATTCTATTATTATGGAAGTGATAAAGGTAGTGTTGGTGTTCAATTATGTTAACTACTATTGTGTAAGAATTTTTTTGGCCATCCCTTCCTTCTCTTTTGGGTACAGAGTAACTGAAGGTGACCAGATAAATAATAACTGAGAATTTTAACAATTATAATCTTACTAATTTGATTCATTTAATTATTTGACAAATGCTCCAAATACCAGAATGCCCTCACAGCTAAAACAATTGTGTTGTATTGAATTAGAAAAGAGAGTAAAATAACTTTAATCTTCGTAGCCTTTTACCTTAGGAAGTATTTACTATCCAGCCTACAGTTGTAGAATATCTGGGTTAAGAACATAGGGTTGTGAGAGTTTCAATGGCAGAAAAATAGATTATTTTCCTTAAATATTTTAAATGAAAATTAGATAAAATTAAATATGCACAGCCCCTTTCTTAACTCCCTTTGCAGATTGAAGGAATAACAGCAAACATGTATATAGAATTTACTATGTACTGGGCACTGTTCTAAGCACTTTGTTTAAGTACATTAGCTATATTAACTTGTTTAGCTCACAACAACTCTGTAAGTACTGTTATTGGCACCATTAATTTTACTTTTAAGAAAACAGAACAGAGAGGTTAAATGACTTGTTCAAGGTCACAGAGTTAGAAAATGGCATATCTAGGAATGTTTTTTCCTTTGTTTTTAGTGACAGAGTGTTCCCTTGGTGCCTAGACTGGAGATCAGTGGCTATTCACAGGTGCAGTCATCACACCCTACAGCCTCAAACTCCTGCGCTCAAGTGATCTGCCTGTGTCAGTCTCCCAGGTAGCTGGGAATACAGGTGCTGCACCCAGCTCATATTTGAGATTTTAACCTAGGGAGTATGGTTAGAGTCCATGTTCTTAACCACTATTGTCACTACATTAATTTAGAAATAATAAGATATATTTTGTAACTTCATTGTTAATAAAGATCTCAGTCCCAGTTCACATAAACTTATTATTTGAACAAATGAAGCCACACAATAATGAAATGCAAAGATTGTAAGCTTTCTAAGTTGTTTTTTATTCTAGAGAAAACAGGCTAGGAGTTGAGTATTATAAAGTAAAGGTCATATCGAAATAATGTTAATTTCCAGAAAGGACACTTTAAGGAGAAAAAGACAAAAGTATCACTAAATGTAAGCTTTCTTATGGAATTCTTATCAGTGTTGTTTGGAAAATGTTTTATTTGACTTTACTTATACTTTTTAGAGGTTTTTTCCTCTGTTCTAAAAACTTACAGTAAGATTGTCATATTTCAGATAAGTCTGAAATACTACCTAATGCTAGAAGTTGTTCTTACCTTTTGGCTAGTGAGATTAACTAATTAATTTAGTAGCTAGTTTGCATTCCATCACTAACTTACAGTATGTTCAAATGTACTAATCGCATCAGTGAAGTGTAAACTGTGTAAACAGCTATAAACAAGCATCTTTCTTCTGCTAAGCATCAGTAGTGAAGTAGGTCAGAAAATTTAGAGTCCAAATTCAGTTACAATTATCATAGATTATAGAAATAGTGTTGTATGATACTGTAAATTTTGATCAAGATATTATCTTTCCACAAAATATCCTTTTTCACCATACCAGGGGAGGAGGTTTCAAATCCTTGTGACTTTGATTCAGATAGGCTTCTCATTTCTAATTTCTTTAAGAATCAATGAATACTAATGTCAGTGTTTCCTCCATTTCTAGTCCTGACTGGCATATAATAATGGTTAGGCCAAAGATTAGCAAGAGTTTTCCCAAAACCCAAAGCATGCTAATATTTACTTCAAACACTGATATAATGTATTCAATGAAAACATTTTAATTAAATTATTTGGATATTAGTTACATTCCTTTTTTTTCTTTTTTAGAGATGAGGGCTCCTCACTCTGTCACCCAAGTTGGGTGCAGTGGTGCCCTGGTAGCTCACTGCAGCCTTGAATTCTTGGGTTCATTTTTATTCTTATTTGATGAGATCTAATGGTAGTAACATTCTTTGTAATTTGCATTTTAACTACTTTGTGATCCATTTAGCCCTTTGTCTTTTCTGTTACTGGAAAGGAATCTCAATCGAGACCCCAAGAGAGGGTTCTTGTATCTCGTGCAAGAAATAATTTGAGGTGAATCCATAGAGCAAGTGAAAGCAAGTTTATTAAGAAAGTAAAAAAAGAATGGCTACTCCATAGGCAGAGCAGCAGCAAAGGCTGCTCAGCTGTTTATACTTATTGTTACTTTTGATTATTTGTTAAACAAGGAGTGGATTATTCATGAGTTTTCCTGAAAAGGGGTGGGAAGTTCTCAGAACTGAGGGTTTCTCCCCTTTTTAAACCATATATGGTAATTTCCTGTTGTTGCCATCGCATTTGTAAACTATCATGGCACTGGAGGGAATGTCTTTTAGCATACGAATACATTATAATTAGCATATAATGAGCAATTCGGATAACCAAAGATCACTTTCATTGCCATCTTGGTTTTGGTGGGTTTTGAACAGCTGCTTTACTGCATCCTTTTATCAGCAAGGTCTTGTGCCAACCTCCTATCTCATTCTGCGACTAAGAATGCCTAACCTCCTGGGAATGCAGCCCAGTAGGTCAAAGCCTTATTTTACTCAGCCCCTATTCAAGATGGAGTTGCTCTGCTTTAAATGCCTCTGACACTTCCACTTTTAAAAAATTACCATTTTAGCATTCCTTTTTCATGTTGATGTATGACGATATGGCTTGTGTTTCCTTCAATTTTTCCCTTTTACTTTGTAGCCTCCTGTTTCCAGTGAAATTTTAGATTTGTTTCTAGTGGTTCTTTTTTCCGTTGGCAGTTTCCTTTGAAATTCTTAGCCGGTTCCTCTCTTTTAAGGGACTCTTAAAGCATTTTTTAATCACTTATTTGGCATAATCCCAATTTCCTTCCCTTTTATCTTTTTCTTACCAGGAAAATATGTCAATTTTTTTTCTTTAGTGAAATTAGATATGATTTGTGTAGCCTTATTTACTGTATGTGTGAACCATTTACCTAATGGGAAGAGCTCATATCTAGATATATGAGAACTATAATCCTCCAACTAAGTAGGATTTAGATAAATGGATTATAGAGGCACAGAAGGAGCTGACACCACTTACAGGTTAAAGTGCGCTTTATTACTGTTTGACAGATACATAGTTCACATTTTCTACTATATCATGTGTTCCAAAAAAACATATTGACCTATCAAGATAGTAGTGGCTTAGAAAGATTAGTTCCAACTTGTAAGGTAAATAATGCACTTACCATTGTACCTCTAAATATTGTCTGTGTTTATTATTTATAGCCATTTGGGACCCTTAAGTAACAAATACATACAGTATATATTTTAACACCTTATGAAATCTCATTCATCCTTTCATCTCCTCCCTTTTCCTTTGATTGTCATGAGCCTCATTTATCGAAATTCTTAGGTCCTAGATGTTCAGACTTCCTTCAAGTCATTCATTCATTCATTTACTTACTCATTCTTTTTTTTTTAATTTGACAAATATTTTTTCAAACACTTGGTAGCCAGTAGGCCTTGAGGATCCAAAGATCCTTAGAGGTGGTCACAGTTTGGGTTTTGTTGACATCAGTGAGAGAAGGAAGGATGCTGTGGGGTTGGAGGTGGGAGCTGGGCAGGTAAACTAACCGTTTCAATGTAGTACAGTAAGTAATTTAAATAAGATACTTTGGATCAGGAGGGAAAGCTAACTGCCTAGGGAAATTAAGGAAGACTTCCTGGTGGAGAGACTACTTCATAGGGCCTGAAAGAATGAGAAGGAGTTTGTTGGTTGAATGCTATGGTATGAATGTATGTGTACATCCAAAATTCATATGTTGGAAACTAACTCCCAAGGAGATTGTATTAAGACCTGAGGCTTTCAGGAGGTGATTAAGCCATGAGGGCTTCACCCTCAAAAATGGGATATATCTCTTTATAAAAAAGGCTAGAGAGAGCTGTGGAACCCCTCTTTTGCCTTTGTGCCATCTGATGGTAGAGGATGCAGCAACAAGGTAGTATCTTGAAGCAGAGGGCAGCCTTCACCAGCCACTGACCCTGCTGGTGCCTTGATCTTGGACTTGTCAGCTGCCAAAACTGTGAGAAATAGATTTCTGTTGTTTATTAATTACCCAGTTTTGGGTGTTATAGCAGCACAAACAGACTAAGACAGAGAAGAAGGGTGAAATGGGAATAGCAGAGTTTCTGAGTCGTGAAAGAATGTGGATGGGATCAAAGATGGGATGTAGGCTGGAGCTTGGAATGAGTGAGGGGAGACAGCATGAAAGGCTAAAGAAGTGAACTAGACCAGGTTGATAAGAACCTTCTGAGAATAAGGGCCTTGCTAAAGATTTTATTTTGAATATGACCTTTAAGCAGAGGGTTATATAATCAGATTGGTTTTTAGGAAGTACCTGTAATAGGATTATGGATAATAGATTGGGATGGATAGAGTAGACTGGGTCAAGAGGACCATTTAGCAGGACTTCAAAGTAGTCTAAACAAGGGAGGTCAACAGAGAGCTGTTGAGAGGCAGAGCAAGGATTTAATCCAGATCTCTTTGGCTCCAAAGCTATGCTTTTTCTACAACTTGGTGGTTATTACCAACCCCTCCAAGGTGCCCATAGATGATGGCCTATTTAGGAACCTGTTCCAAATTATTGTGTTTTTCTTTTCTGTTTATTTGCTATATGATCTTGAATCAACATGATGATATAAACCTAGTCTCTACCCATTTCAAGGAGGGGATTGTCAGTTCTTAGTATCTTCTTTCAGGGCTTCTGCTAAACCCTGATTAAAGAATACACGAGCACCATGTAGTAAATGGGAGCGACAAGTAGCCCTGATCCACAGAGTCATTGAAAGGTTATTATATCATGTGATTTCATTTTTTTATAATATCCTTTCAGTATATAATAAAAGTCAGTAGAAAATTGGGCTTAATTAAATAATATAAGAAAATCTTCAGAACTTGGCAGAGAAATAAAATTTTTCATTGAAAC